TTTGTCAGAGAGCCCTATAAATCCAGAAGCAAAAGATGATTAATATGGAAGGACTGATCTATCTCTGTTTCTCTGTCTCTATACAGAGCAGAATCACGAACTGTAATATGGGTTGTTGGTTTTCTGACTTTTGAATCTATCAGATTATTAAATGTTTGAGAGTATATATAGTCTATGAAAACCAAAATTACCTTTCAAACTGAACTGGAAAAACTTCATACTATGTAAAAATTAAATAATCTTAAATACTTCAAAAACAAACAAAAAAGTATTTTCTCAGTTCCTTGGCAGATCCTCTCCAGAGGAAAACACTTTCTTCTAAGAGCACATATAAATGAATGTGTTATAATTCTGCTTAAAATATGAACGTAGCATACAGAGATATCACAGGTAGGGAAATAAAGAAAAAGGAACATATGGGATGTGTTGTCTGCAAAGGGAATTACGAGCTAAGGTCAATATCAACTCCAGAGCTTAACAATCTTGATAGTTTCCATGCAACAAAAAGGGATAGAATTACATATTATATTGGGCTTTCCAAGGGCTTTAAGTATTTAGAAGGCAGGTTCACTCCAGGGAGCAAAACAGTGTCCATTTTCCTCAGGCGTTGACTCTCTAAAATGTAGCCAGTAGCAACTTTATTTATGAGTACACTGAAAAACTTTTTGAAGAGTTTATAGATTTTTTAATGTGTGAATCTATTTACAAGGCTGAGAGTTTGTCTCAACTTAAGAACTAGCATTTAATGAAGGATAATGGATTATTTTTTAAGATGTATCAGATACTTGAGATTTTATTCAGTAGATATATTGGTAGTAATTTTTATATGTGTTCTAAAAGAGTATGTGGCCACAATCCTAGAATAACTGATCTCTGGAAAAATAAAGGGAATTTTAGGATTCATTGTATAACAAATCAGGGTGCATGATTCCAGGTTTCTTCTTTAATGAAACAATATAAACTTCCTCAAATGGAAATGCATATAATTCTGAATTCTGGGAAAAGAGTTATTGTGATGCTACTAAATTACATTTTTCAGATATCAAAATTATTTCTTTGAAACATTGCATGCCATAAGATTAGTATACCTTTATAAGCTATGCTCATTAATATACTATATGGCTTATAACAAAGAATTTTGCAGCTTGTTCTTTCAAAAGAGCCAATCATTGCTGAGGAAGTCCTTCCATGCTCCAAGAAGTTCTAATGACACAGCAATAAACAAAGTGGCATGCTTATATTCAAATTCCTACTATACTTATAAGAACAAATCTAATGTTACAAGATATAATTTAAAAAATAATAATTCAGACTTGAGCTAAGAAAAAAATGTCAATTGATAAGCATCTCAAAAATTTTAGGTCGAGTTTTCAATATGTCATTTATTTGAAATGCTACCAATCCATAAACTATATAGAGATATTTTTTTACATATGCAACTACAGTAGCTAGAATTAGCAACGGACATGCCATTTTACTAAAAAGAAAATCAAAACGAAAACAAATTAGTCCTTTCATGCTGAACTCTAGAACAAAGCAGTGGTCAGCTAGAAAGGATGTATAATAAACACATGCGGTGCTTTTTATTTCTTGCAGAAAAACCCACCAAAGCCAGGGTCAGGTCACTTTTTTGAAGACAGTGCCACTTTTTCTTCAAGGTAACACCTACTACCTGAAAAGAGTCATGACACCTGTGTTAGTGCCTGCTAGCAACTTTTTTCTTTACAGCCCTTTGGCTTTTGAGATAATACCCCATAAGTCTCACTGCTTTACGACTGTGGTTCAGACTGAGAACGGGAAGGGCAGACTTGTCATAATGACAGTGCCATGGCTTCTGAGATAGTGTCTAAAATCCTGCCAAGTAAAGTGAGTACATTTGTGTATCAAAGCAAGTATTCCCCCAGATCCTATTGCCACCTCTGCATGGTAATGTCAAATCAAGTTGTTATTCCTGTCTTCTCCATTCATCTTGGGGGATAATACTTCTAGAATTCAGAATGTGGCTGAGAATTGATTCAACAATTCATGAAACTACTAAGCTTTGCTTATCAGCAGTTCTGCATGGCTAAATGTAATTTAGTATGCAGGTATCCTTCCTTTTGGAATTCAGTGGCTTAAAACATTAAAAGTGATATATCTGCATAATTACACAATTTTCAAACCCAATTTCTTAAATACAAACACACCAGTCAATATTGATCTACTAAAAGCAATATGAAGACATGAAAAAGAAAATATACACTGAAAATACACTCATGCATCTGTGTTTTATATTTTTTAAATTCAGAAGTTCCTACATCATTCATAGCAAGAACAAGAGTAGTGAAACTTCAGAAATAGATTATCATGTTGTGACATCCTCTAGTGATCATTTCAGCCTATTTCTTTTCAAATAATATTTGAAAAACAAGTTTAAACTACTCCTTGCTTAAAATCTTGAGATATTTTTGACTATTTGAAACATACTGTTAACATAAGGGGGATTTTGTTTTTCTTGGTGTTTTGCTCTGAAAAATTCTTTGATGTTTTATTTATCATTTGTTTCTTCACCAATGAAACATATTAATGACAGACTTTTTCCTAACTTCTATTGTACAAGCAAGCATAAATGAATGAAACACAGAGGGCATAGAAAATGACATTAACATTTATTAAGAAAGCCTGGCTTTGGCTCACTTTCTTTTTGTTACTATGGAATGGAAAATTCAGAGTACAAGATATTGGACGTCACAGGAATCTCTCTGGCTGGACAACAGGCTGTGGAACCACCAGATGTCTTTAGATGATGAAGTGTTGGCTGCAGTCCTCTTTCACAGGGAAGGGAATGAAACTATTTTGAGAAGCTATCAAGTATTGGACACTGTGAGGTGGCTGATGCAATTTATTTGGTTTCATAATAACTCTGGGTAGATATTGTGTTCTATGGATAGTTGAGACACCGAAGGTCGAAGATGATGTGATTTGGCTGATAACTCAAAATCATTCTTTTTGCTGAGCCAAAAGGGGGCTCCACCCCCAAGTAATGTTCTTCTCATGGGGCTCTACATTGGAAATCAGATTGCCCAGGGATGGTGCCCACACCTGATAGCTCTGGGGTACAACCCTAGGATCCCCAACCAGCTCCTTTCCAGAGCATCTTGCTTGGCTAGCCACTGAAGACTGACAAGGTCCAGGGAACATTTTAAATGCTGAAATCCTGGTAACTCTTCCAGTGGAGGGTGAGTCTATCTCATTTATAATTGATAAAGGTGCTTGTCACTACACTTTGCTTTCCTTCCAGTGACCAACTTCCTTGGCCCCAGTTACTGCTATGGGTATTGACAGTAAACGTCCATACCCTAAGTACCCCCCCAATCTGGTGCCAATGGATTCAAAATTTTCATCTACACTCGGAAAGATGACAGGAAACTGGATTTTACAGATTGATCAGACCAAGGGGGAGGAATGAAACGGAAGTTCCTGGGGATGAAAATCATCTAAATGTTGTATGGGTGCACTGGTATATCAAAATGGATCTTAGTATTCTATAGAATTAGTAAGTATCAATAAGGTCTTAAAGTAAAAATTAAACCTAAAAGGGGATCCATACCTGTATCCCAGGGTGGCTGCTACACAATTGTTACCTGGCTGAGGGAGCTAGTGGACACTCCTTCACGTTGTGTCCCTACTGTAAATATAGGCCATTTGTGAACACAATCAAATTTTAGGTAGCAACCAATGTTGGTGATTAGTTACTTGGATTAATTAATAATCACTCAGACCGAATCTAAGCAATCCTTCCCCATGATGCTGAGGATTAATTCTAGCACTTCTTGCATTCTAGGTAAGCATTTTTCCATTAAGCTACTCCCCCAGCACCCTAAGCCTTTAAGCAAAGAGTTTTCTGTGAATATTTATTTCTCTTTTTTTGTGGAAGAATTAGCTATCTATAATTCTACTCAGGTTCACTTTTATAAAAGAACAAACACAACAAGAACAACAAGAAAAACAACAACAAAACTTTTCTTTTATCTTTATGAAAAGCTAACCTGAGCATTTCATATATAGAAACTTCATTCTGTAGATCTCATGTTTACAAGCTTTAGCAACTCTAATTTTTTTTAAATGTATTTAGTACAGGGTCTACAGGGTCTCACTATGCA